ATCCTCGATACGTTTATGTTATCTACACGAATATTATAATGAAAGATCCTCGATACGTTTATGTTATCTACACGAATGTTATAATGAAAGATCCTCGACACGTTTCTTTTATCTACGCGAATGTTATAAGGAAAGAGCCTCGATACGTTTCTTTTATCTACACGAATGTTACATGTATAATGAAAGATCCTCGATACGTTTCTTTTATCTACACGAATGTTATAATGAAAGAGTCTCGATACGTTTATTTTATCTACACGAATGTTATAATGAAAGATCCTCGATACGTTTATGTTATCTACACGAATATTATAATGAAAGATCCTCGATACGTTTCTTTTATCTACGCGAATGTTATAAGGAAAGAGCCTCGATACGTTTCTTTTATCTACACGAAGGTTATAATGAAAGATCCTCGATACGTTTCTTTTATCTACACGAATGTTATAATGAAAGAGTCTCGATACGTTTATTTTATCTACACGAATGTTATAATGAAAGATCCTCGATACGTTTATGTTATCTACACGAATATTATAATGAAAGATCCTCGATACGTTTCTTTTATCTACGCGAATGTTATAAGGAAAGAGCCTCGATACGTTTCTTTTATCTACACGAAGGTTATAAGGAAAGATCCTCGATACGTTTCTTTTATCTACACGAATGTTATAATGAAAGATCCTCAATACGTTTATTTTATCTACACGAATGCTATAAGGAAAGAGCCTCGATACGATTATTTTATCTACACGAATGTTATAATGAAAGAGCCTCGATACGTTTCTTTTATCTACACGAATGTTATCAGGAAAGAGCCTCGATACGTTTATGTTATCTACACGAATGTTATAAGGAAAGATCCTCGATACGTTTACTTTATCTACACGAATGTTATAAGGAAAGAGCCTCGATACGTTTATTTTATCTACACGAATGCTATAAGGAAAGGAACTCGATACGTTTATTTTATCTACACGAATGTTATAAGGAAAGGAACTCGATACGTTTATTTTTTCTACACGAATGTTATAAGGAAAGAGCCTCGATACGTTTCTTTAAAAACTTGCTGAATCCCAGTGTTATAAAGGAAAGATAAATTGGTGATACACCATGATGTCATGATAAAAGCCGGGTGAAGAGCTTGAGAGAGAAAACCTGGTACTCACATTCTACATACTGTATCTGGATTAAAAACACAACTTCGGTATTTGTTAAAGAAACTTTTTGTAGTATTGACAGATAATGCAGAAGAATATGACATCACAAGTTTGACAATTATTTTGATCAATTTGTTATTGTATTCGTTCATAGCTAAATTCTTATTCTTCAGCACAACTCCGCAACAATTACGCACTTGCGGATATGTCTTCTAACGTATTGAAGCTAAAACAAACACCGTAAAAATACTAAATACATTTTGCTTTACGTTTTGATGAAATGCTCGACTTCCAGTGGTAAACACATACAAATGAGCTTGACGAATGCCATTGTTTCAGCCTTGTATAACCAATACCCTGATTGTTGTTTCTGTCGGTATTTCGCCGATATTTATCATTCTTGCACATCATGGTTCAGCGTTCGACATCGACTTTCAGTGTATACCTGTCGTATACCTGTATACCCGCATCTCAAAATGAATATGTACCCCGCTTCTAGCCACATTAAGAAGAACTATTCAACCAACCATAAACAAACCTCGCTTCACAGAGACGTCACTAGATACTAGAAATTCGAACTAGTCAACCATTCAGAAAGTAGATCAATAATGTATAAATATATTACAGTGTCTCGAGCTTATACATTAATATTCTGCTGGGGGTTTTCAAAAGAAATGTTTTCAATTTTTTCAACAGTTCACGAATTCCACAAACATTCACTCTCGTGCAAAGCATCAACACTTAAAATTTCAGACTTTAGATGTTTTATTTGTGAAAACGATTGGAGGGATAGGAACAGGTGAAAGAAACATGTTAGAAATTAGAAGACATGGATGACCGGTTTTGTGGAATGTGTATATGTGTAAGATACATTGATAGGTATTACTTTGTATTGTAACGTATAACGCCGTCCAAGTATATAAAATGTAGAAACAGGTGAACAGAAACATTTTAGCAGAGATACTGGAGGAGGGGAGCTTATAAAAAGGCTTTTAAATGAAAACACGGGGACCCAATTACCCCTACATGCAACGTTTCGTCGAAGGGGATGAGGGGACTTCCTTAAATATTTCTTAATTCGTCAATTTCTATCATTTCCTTTATTCTTCTATGTTCTTTAAACAAGGGGATATATGGAGAACCTCATTTCTTCAAACAAGGGGCTAGATGGAGTACCCCATTTCTTCAAACAAGGTGCTTGACGGAGCACCCCATTTATTTAAGCAATGGGCTAGACGGAGCACCCCATTTATCTAAACAAGGGGCTAGACGGAGCACCCCATTTATTTAAACAAGGTGCTAGACGGAGCACCCCATTTCGTCAAACAAGGTGCTAGACGGAGCACCCCATTTATTTAAGCAAGGGGCTAGACGGAGCACCCCTTTTATTTAAACAAGGGGCTAGACGGAGCACCCCATTTATTTAAACAAGGGGCTAGATGGAGCACCCCATTTATTTAAGCAAGGGGCTAGACGGAGCACCCCATTTATTTAAACAAGGGGCTAGACGGAGCACCCCATTTATTTAAACAAGAGGCTAGACGGTACTCCCAATTACTTTCTGCATTTCTTTATTGTTCCCTAAGCAGAGAACTTACAGGATAATCTCTATGATTCCTCCTTTAGTTCTTCAATAATTCCTATGCAAGCGCTAAGAGGGAACCGATGGTTCCTTCTTTAATTCTTCAATGTTCTTTAAGTAGGGAACATCCCAATTATGCAGTATGCAGCACCAATTTATTATATTAACACTATATATTATTTTATTGGAAACTAACCCTTCAGCCGCTTATTTCTTCCAGTTACGGACCCTGACTACTGTTTTAATCACAGATCTCCAGCTGTATACTTGTTGATTATTGTTTCAGACGCACGAGTTCAGGGACTACCCCTTATGTCTTCACCTTTACCGACACTGCTCATCCTAGTATGTTACTACATATTTGTGTACTATGGACGCACAATCATGGCTGACAGAAAGCCACTTCAGCTGAAACGATTGATCATGCTCTACAACTTAGGAATGGTGATTTTCTCCCTGTACATGGCTAAGGAAGTAAGTACCAGCGCCGTTCAATCAGGGTCACTCAAAATTGACAGTTAATACTAATATACCAATAACGTACGTGTTTAACTTCACATTTTTGTGAATGAGGATAATTGATACATAATTGTGTTGATGAGGATACTTGTTACGTATTTGCGTTAATGAGGATACTTGTTACGTATTTGTGATGATGAGGATACTTGTTACGTATTTGCGTTGATGAGGATACTTGTAACGTATTTGCGTTGATNGGATACTTGTTACGTATTTGTGTTGATGTGGATACTTGTTACGTATTTGTGTTGATGTGGATACTTGTTACGTATTTGTGTTGATGTGGATACTTGTTACGTATTTGTGTTGATGAGGATACTTGTTACGTATTTGCGTTGATGAGGATGCTTGTTACGTATTTGTGTTGATGTGGATACTTGTTACGTATTTGTGTTGATGAGGATACTTGTTACGTATTTGCGTTAATGAGGATACTTGTTACGTATTTGTGATGATGAGGATACTTGTTACGTATTTGCGTTGATGAGGATACTTGTAACGTATTTGCGTTGATGTGGATACTTAATACGTATTTGCGTTGATGAGGATACTTGATACGTATTTGCGTTGATGAGGAAGCTCGATACACATTTACACATTTCACAGAAAAAAACAAATTGTATAATGTACTCGGGAAACAGATGAAAAAGGGAAATCATTGTACTCTTAAAATGATACTATTAGTGCTAATTTGAGGCTTTGTTACGTTTAGAACTGTAAAAAGTATTATACTATTAGATTACAATAGTATAAGTGTTATAGCCCATAAGGGGAAATGTAAAAAAAAACAATGAAATTCGTTAAATACGTATATCTTGGGTATTACAATATGGACATTTTTTTCGGAGATCTATAGCAGGCCATTGCCCAGTTTTCACTATATATTTATAATTGGAATTTTTCTACATTTAGATGTTCTATATAACTTTCAAATAACCACATTTTGTAAAAAGAAAATAATAAATAAAAAGAAAAATAAACTCCTTTAGTAGATATTATGTAACATTTTTTGTTTTTTAAACAAGGTTTTGAAGGTGTAATAAATTATCATTTACAGTAAATGATTCTTACAGTCGGTTATTTTTTTTGAGTATTATGCTTGGCATTGTTTCCTCCACATCAATACAAAAAATCTGAAAGAACTTATTTAAGCAAATTTGTGTAGGATATTTCATAGAAGAAAAGATACATAAATGTTTCGTTTGAATACAATTTGCATATTTTACAAGGTTAAAAAGTCTTAATATGAGTCTGAACTGTTAAATAAGAGTCAACATTGCGCATTAGTGATGAATCTCATGTTTATTACGATCTTGTTTCTTGTTCACAAAAAGCAAATTATATATAGATAAATGCTTCTTTAGAATGCCAATTATAATTTAATTTAAACAATTCATTATTTGTAAAATTACAATTTTTTGAATGAGTAGTATTTTCCTCCTAAGTCATACTTTGATGTTACTCTTACCCCCGATGGAGCATTAATATGACGTATATGTTAATATGTAACCTCTGTGTATTTGGATTGCAAAGAGAAATAATGAGCTCAGAACATGCAAGTCTGACTACGTACAGCACAATAGTTAATAGAAATACCCGTTTTAAATAATTAATGATGAAATAACAATGGAGGGGTCGAGAGAGCTATACCGATATTTAACCAACAAATTTGATGCTGATGATTGTAAAATAAATTGATGTATTAAATATTTATAACAGACAAACTGATTTGTAGGTAAACCCTTTAAATGTTTAATTCAGTAGGTACGCTACACATGGACTGTTGGTGAAAGGTTCATTAATTTTTGTTTATAAAAAATAAAGGTTCACCCAGATAATGACACTATGAATTATAGACAAATTGCAATTTTATTTCCACCAGGTGTGTTTGAAAACCTCTTTGCTTGAATCTTAGAAATACTCGGGCGAGTTGAATGGCATATGATAAAAACCAAGCTTTCACATTCTATGACTTAACGTACTCGTATGATGGAAAAGAAACTAAATTGCGATTTCATTCATTTTATCTGTGGGCAAAAATGTTGATCAATCCAATATATGGTAGGATTATACAAAGAAAATCAAATCAGGATATGTAGACTATATTTATATGAAAAATAGGGTTTAAATATATAATTTATTATAGGTAAATGTTATATTTTTATACAGAGTTCTAGCGATAGGCTAATCTTCTACATGAGGAAAAGGTACAGGATTCGCCAATGGCTAAATATGTATTTATCTCAATAAAGAATGTCTGTTAGTTTTAAAAGCACTTTTCCATTTTTTACTGTATTTCCTTATATTTCTGAGTAGAAACGACATGTTCGTTTTACCTTTAGTACCACTGGTCAATTTTACATGGACGATATGGCCATTTATAAAGAAAAAATTGGATGAATTGAACCATAAATTTTGAATAAGGTGCTTCCTTATTTCATATCTCAGGTGTGTTTAAAGTCAGTAGTCTTCCTTATTTCATATCTCAGGTGTGTTTAAAGTCAGTAGTATTCCTTATTTCATATCTCAAGTGTGTTTAAAGTCAGTAGTATTCCTTATTTCATATCTCAGGTGTGTTTTCATTCAGAAGTATTCATTATTTCATATCTAAGGTGTGTTTAAATTGAGTAGTATTCCTTATTTCATATCTCAGGTGTGTTTACATTCAGTAGTATTCATTATTTCATATCTAAGGTGTGTTTAAATTCAGTAGTATTCCTTATTTCATATCTCAGGTGTGTTTTATAAATTCAGTAGTATTCCTTATTTCATATCTCAGGTGTTTTTAAATTCAGTAGTATTCCTTATTTCATATCTCAGGTGTGTTTAAATTCAGTAGTATCGGCTTAACCGGATATATGACCTGCATTCTATTGGAAATTCATGCTAATTCAATGAAGCTAAAACTTGAATGTTGAAAAGCTTGATCGCTGTGTAGGATGTCTTAGAGAAGGGAAGACATATTGACGTTTCGGTTGAATGAATATAACATATTTAAAAGGAAGTTAAGTGTATTACAAACTCCACGCTTATTAATTATTTTTTTAAGAAATGAAGGTATATCTTGCCAATGTCCGTATAGATATGAAGTGCGGGCTTTTACAAATTTTTAACGAGTTTGATTTTTATTTTAAAAGACAATTTGATAGAAAAGAACTAAACTAAAATAAATACTGTAGGAAGGACTTACTATTTATGTAAAAAGAATAACAGTTAAATGTAAAGTGTAATATCTGTAAGTGGTACACTCTATACAAAGTACATTTTGTATGTGTTATATCAGGGGTTTAAGATCACCGTACCACTGCTTATAACTGGTACTTAGTAGTGGGGACAGTATTCTGACTATAACTTTGATAAATGTTTTCTGAAAAGGAAACCATACCTTGCGGGAGTCGGATGAGAAAAAATAAATTGAAATAAACGAAATACAATCAACAACAGCGACGTGAGTGAAACAATTCAACGGGGCTAGACAGCATCCGAACCCTGGACCGAGATTGTTTTGCTTTTTCTTTGATGATATTTGTGCTTCCTAACAATTATTGGTGTATTGTATATACCTGTAAATATGTTATAGAAGGTAGGGGATACAATGCGGTAGTCTCGGCTGGTGGATTACTTAGTCCACGAGATAACGCCTTAACCTTGTTAGCCAAAAGCTGTTGGATTTCTTAGTCCACGAGCTAACGCATTAACCTTGTTAGACAAAGGCTGGCGGATTACTTAGTCCACGGGATATCGCCTTAACCTTGTTAGTCAAAGTCTGGCGGATTACTTAGTCCACGGGATATCGCCTTAACCTTGTTAGCCAAAAGCTGTTGGATTTCTTAGTCCACGAAATAACGCCTTAACCTTGCTGGCCAAAGGCTGGTGAATGACTTAGTCCACGAGATAATGCCTTAACCTTGTTAGCAAAAGGCTGGTGAATTACTTAGATCACGAGATAACGCCTTAAGCTTGTTAGCCAAAGGCTGGCAGAATTCTTAGTCCACGAGATAACGCTGTAACCTTGTGAGCCAAGGGCTGGTGAATTACTTAGTTCACGAGGTAACGCCTTAACCTTGCTGGCCAAAGGCTGGTGAATGACTTAGTCCACGAGATAACGCTGTAACCTTGTGAGCCAAAGGCTGGTGAATGACTTAGTCCACGAGATAACGCCTTAAGCTTGCTAGCCAAAGGCTGGTGAATGACTTAGTCCACGAGATAATGCCTTAACCTTAAGCTTGTTAGCCAAAGGCTGGCAGAATTCTTAGTCCACGAGATAACGCATTAACCTTGTTAGACAAAGGATGGCGTATTTCTTAGTCCACGAGATCACGCCTTAACCTTGTTAGTCAAAGGCTGTCGGATTTCTTAGGCCACGAGATAACGCCTTAAGCTTGTTAGCCAAAGGCTGGCAGAATTCTTAGTCCACGAGATAACGCTGTAACCTTGTGAGCCAAAGGCTGGTGAATGACTTAGTCCACGAGATAACGCCGTACCCTTGTTAGCCAAAGGCTGGCAGAATTCTTAGTCCACGAGATAATGCCTTAACCTTAAGCTTGTTAGCCAAAGGCTGGCGGGTTACTTAGTCCACGAGATGACGCCGTAACCTTTTTAGCCAAAGGCTGTCGGCTTTCTTAGTCCACGAGATAATGCCTTAACCTTAAGCTTGTTAGCCAAAGGCTGGCAGAATTCTTAGTCCACGAGATAATGCCTTAACCTTAAGCTTGTTAGCCAAAGGCTGTCGGCTTTCTTAGTCCACGAGATAACGCATTAACCTTGTTAGCCAAAGGCTGGTGAATTACTTAGTTCACGAGATAACGCCTTAACCTTGCTAGCCAAAGGCTGGTGAATTACTTAGTCCGTGAGATAACGCCGTAACCTTGTTAGCCAAAGGCTGGTGAATTACTTAGTTCACGAGATAACGCCGTAACCTTGTTAGCCAAAGGATGGCGGATTTCTTAGTCCACGAGATAACGCCGTAACCTTGTTAGGCCATATTGTATCTATTACCATATTGTATCTATTACTATATATTTTAAATGCGCAAACACCTGTATCTTCCTTCCTACGTATAAAAATAAGGAACCAATAATCGAACAGCTTTCAATAAACAGAAATACCATTATGTTTATGTTAAGACGGTGTAACGTTGATAAACAGGACGACAGGCACCATTCACTAAGTATTGTACCTAACATGTAATGTATACTGTTTGCAGTTCGCTATGGCTGGGTGGCTGACGGGATACCAGCTGGGATGTCAACCAATCGATTACACACCGCGCGGTGATCGAGTGAGTACTTAGTACATGTTCCATTCGTGTTTGTCCGACTACGTTTTCATTACGTTTCTCGGAAATCGTTCTAGATAGCAACACACAACTTTAGCATGTGGCGTAGATGTGTCCTTAGCTATTTAGAGCAATGAAGAGTGCAAAATGTTGCATGGTTATTAAACTTCTCACATATATGTATCACCTCTTGATGATGTTTTAGTATCGGTTCAGACTGCCTAGGTCAGACTCAACAATAAGTGGGTGGGTGTTGTCATGGTCATATGTTTTGTTTCCGCATTGTCAAGAACTGCGTACATAAAGTGACAATATGTATACCGTATAAACCAGCGTAATAGGGTATGCATTATGGGTCAGGGATATGTATAACTAGATCATCTTTTCACTTTCCGATATATATATTACATATTTAACAGGCATGAGGTGTATCGATGTCTTTCAAACCAGCAAATAGTAAAGAACAAATCAATAAACAAATTGAAATTGTTTGCCGATTTTTATTTCTCATTTAAACGTTTATAGATTAATAATCGTGCGTAATTATGCAGAACAATTTTAGTTATTTAAATCCATGTGAAAGCTATTGATTTACATGGTGTAATACCTACGGGTTACCTTACTGAATTAAGTATTGTTGTAATACCCGGAGGTTTTGTTGTTTTCAGATGGCCATAGCAACATACCTGTTTTTTATATCTAAGATTATAGAGCTAACAGATACGGTACGTACCTGCACAACATGTTTTTGTACACATCCATATCACTCCTATGTCCTGGACACGTGGAGTCTCTCTCTTGTCCAATCAGATATAGAAATACAATGTTAACAGTTTGTTAAGTTTATACATATGTAATGCTTCAATTAATAAGCAAGAGGATTGGGCACATTCTATCCTCATCAGCTTGTGCCTTTGTTGACATACAGCATTTTTTTTATTTTTATTAATAATAAACAAGTTTTCGATTCATTTACCCATCCCAAATAACAAACAGATATACAAAAAGATATTTGAGTATACGGACCTTGTTGGATTGCTGTTATCTTAAGTTTTATGACGCTTTGTTAAACATGTTTGGTTTTTTTCAGATAATTTTTATAATGAAAAAGAAGTTTCATCAATTGACCTTTCTACATCTATTCCATCATGGATTTCTACCCTTCAACTGGTGGTTTGGCATAAAGTTTATCCCAGGTATGTGTTCCTAGTCCAGAGGTTTGAACAATGATACAATTTGTTCCGGGTAGGTGTCCCTAGTACTGAGCTATGGTCAATCGGTAGCGTTATCCAATGTATGTGTTCCTTGTCCAGAAGTATGAACAATCAGGTAGGTTGCACTAGTCCAATGGTAGATCAATAAAACAAGCTGGTCCGGGTAGGTTGCACTTGTCCATGTGTATAATACATAAAAACAAGCTGTTCCGGGTAGGCGGTACTTGTCCAGTTGTATGATACATACAAAAATTATTCCGGTTAGGTGGTACTAGTCCAGGTGTATAATACATAAAACAAATTGTTCCAGGTAGGTGGTACTTGTCCAGGTGTATAATACATAAAACCAAGCTGTTCCGGGTAGGTGGTACTAGTCCAGCTGTATGATACATACAAAAATTATTCCGGTAAGGTGGTACTAGTCCAGGTGTATAATATATAAAACAAATTGTTCCAGGTAGGTGGTACTAGTCCAGGTGTATAATACATCAAACAAATTGTTCCAGGTAGGTGGTACTTGTCCAGGTGTATAATACATAAAACAAATTGTTCTAGGTAGGTGGTACTACTCCAGGTGTATAATACATAAAACAAATTGTTCAAGGTAGGTGGTACTTGTCCAGGTGTATAATACATAAAACAAATTGTTCAAGGTAGGTGGTACTTGTCCAGGTGTATAATACATCAAACAAATTGTTCCAGGTAGGTGGTACTAGTCCAGGTGTATAATACATAAAACAAATTGTTCCAGGTAGGTGGTACTTGTCCAGGTGTATAATACATAAAACAAATTGTTCCAGGTAGGTGGTACGAGTCCAGGTGTATAATACATAAAGCAAATTGTTCAAGGTAGGTGGTACTTGTCCAGGTGTATAATACATAAAACAAATTGTTCTAGGTAGGTGGTACTTGTCCAGGTGTATGATACATAAAACAAATTGTTCTAGGTAGGTGGTACTTGTCCAGGTGTACGATACACAAAACAAATTGTTCCAGGAAGGTGGTACTTGTCCAGGTGTATAATACACAAAACAAATTGTTCTAGGTAGGTGGAACTTGTCCAGGTGTATAATACATCAAACAAATTGTTCCAGGTAGGTGGTACTTGTCCAGGTGTACGATACACAAAACAAATTGTTCCAGGAAGGTGGTACTTGTCCAGGAGTATAATACACAAAACAAATTGTTCTAGGTAGGTGTTACTTGTCCAGGTGTATAATACATAAAACAAATTGTTCTAGGAAGGTGGTACTTGTCCAGGTGTACGATACACAAAACAAATTGTTCCAGGTAGGTGGTACCTGTCCAGGTGTATGATACATATAACAAATTGTTCCAGGTAGGTGGTACTTGTCCAGTTGTATGATACATAAAAAAATGATTCCGGTTAGGTGGTACTAGTCCAGGTGTATAATACATAAAACAAATTGTTCTAGGTAGGTGGTACTAGTCCAGTTGTATGATATATAAAAAAATGATTCCGGTTAGAAGGCACTAGTCCAGGTGTATAATACATAAAACAAATTGTTCTAGGTAGGTGGTACTTGTCCAGGTGTATAATACATAAAACAAATTGTTCTAGGTAGGTGGTACTTGTCCAGGTGTATAATACATAAAACAAATTGTTCTAGGTAGGTGGTACTTGTCCAGGTGTATAATACATAAAACAAATTGTTCTAGGTAGGTGGTACTTGTCCAGGTGTATAATACATAAAACAAATTGTTCTAGGTAGGTGTTACTTGTCCAGGTGTATAATACATAAAACAAGTTGTTCTAGGTAGGTGTTACTTGTCCAGGTGTACGATACATAGAACAAATTGTTCCCGATAGGTATTACTAGTCCAGTGGTTTGATAAGGAGAACGGTTTTCGATGTTCTCTTCTGATCTGATGCTCATAAACTCTTATTGTGATACAAGATGTCTAGGGAGTTGTAATATTACAGTGATAACTCGAGGTATTATTACAACCCTCTAAACACATGGAATTACAGTTCATAATTAAAATATAAATAAAATTCTCCAGACAGTACAGATTTTGTTATAACTTTATAGACAGCAGGTTTAACGTGATTTCCCAACCGGTACATCAATATCTGTCAATCAAAATCTGGCATCTGTATGACTTTAATAACTTAAATATGCTATGCCCACAGGTGGCTGGGGAACCTTCCACGCGTTCATCAATACACTGGTTCATAGTGTGATGTATATGTACTACTTCCTGTCAGCCGGAGGTCCCGCCATTCAGAAATACCTTTGGTGGAAAAAGTACATAACAACTATACAGATCGTAAGTATCGAGCAACCGTGAATAATCAAACAGAATAAGCAACGTATCATACATTATCGCCAACATACTCCACCTTAAATCACCCTCCTTNCACCTTAAATCACCCTCCTTCCTCATCACCATACATCACCATCCTACTTCATCACCTTAAATCACCCTCCTTCCTCATCACCATACATCACCATCCTACTTCATCACCTTAATCACCCTCCTTCCTCATCACTATACATCACCATCCTACCTCAACACCTTAAATCATCCTCCTTCCTCATCACTATACATCACCATCCTACTTCATCACCTTAAATCACCCTCCTTCCTCATCACCATACATCACCATCCTACTTCATCACCTTAAATCATTCTCCTTCCTCATCACCATGCACCACCATCCTACTTCATCACCTTAAATCACCCTCCTTCCTCATCACCATAAATCACCATCCTACTTCATCACCTTAAATCACCCTCCGTCCTCATCACTATACATCACCATCCTACTTCATCACCTTAAATCACCCTCCTTCCTCATCGCTAAACATCACCATCCTTCTTCACCAACTTAAATCACCCTCCTTTCTCATCACTAATACATCCCCATCCTACTTCATCACCTTAAATCACCCTCCTTCCTCATCACTAAACATCACCATCCTTCTTCACCAACTTAAATCACCCTCCTTTCTCATCACTAATACATCACCATCCTACTTCATCACCTTAAATCACCCTTCTTCCTCATCACTATACATCACCATCCTACTTCACCAACTTAAATCACCCTCCTTCCTCATCACTATACACCACCATCCTACCTCACCACCTTAAATCACCCTCCTTTCTCATCATCATACATCACCATCCTACTTCATCACCTTAAATCACCCTTCTTCCTCATCACTATACATCACCAGCATACTTCATCACTATATATCACCATCCTACTTCACCGCTACACATCATCATCCTACTTCTTCACTTCACATTACCATCCTACTTCATCCCTACACATTACCATCCTACTTCATCAGTTTACATTACCATCCTACTTCCTCAATTACCATCCTACTTCACCACTATACATCACCCATCACCTTAAATCACCCTCCTTCCTCATCGCTATACATCACCATCCTACTTCAACAACTTAAATCACCCTCCTTCCTCATCACTATACACCACCATCCTACCTCACCACCTTAAATCACCCTCCTTCCACATCACTATACATCACCATCCTACCTCACCCCCTTAAATCCCCCTCCTTCCTCATCACTAAACATCACCATCCTACTTCACCACCTTAAATCACCCTCGTTCCTCATCACTATACATCACCATCCTACTTCACCAACTTAAATCACCCTCCTTCCTCATCACTAAACATCACCATCCTACTTCACCACCTTAAATCACCCTCCTTCCTCATCTTCCTCATCACTAAACATCACCATCCTTCTTCACCACCTTAAATCACCCTCCTTCCTCATCTTCCTCATCACTAAACATCACCATCCTTCTTCACCAGCTTAAATCACCCTCCTTTCTCATCACTAATACATCCCCATCCTACTTCATCACCTTAAATCACCCTTCTTCCTCATCACTATACATCACCAGCATACTTCATCACTATATATCACCATCCTACTTCACCACTACACATCATCATCCATCACTAAACATCACCATCCTTCTTCACCAGCTTAAATCACCCTCCTTTCTCATCACTAATACATCCCCATCCTACTTCATCACCTTAAATCACCCTTCTTCCTCATCACTATACATCACCATCCTACCTCAACACCTTAAATCATCCTCCTTCCTCATCACCATACATCACCATCCTACTTCATCACTACATATTACCATCCTACTTCATCACTACACATTATCATCTCACTTCATCAGTTTACATTACCATCCTTCTTCATCACTACACATTACCATCCTACTTTATCACCCTCCTTCCTCATCACTATACATCTCCATCCTACTTCATCACCTTAAATCACCCTTCTTCCTCATCACTATACATCACCAGCATACTTCATCACTATATATCACCATCCTACTTCACCGCTACACATCATCATCCTACTTCTTCACTTCACATTACCATCCTACTTCATCCCTACACATTACCATCCTACTTCATCAGTTTACATTACCATCCTTCTTCATCAGTTTACATCACCATCCTACTTCATCACTACACATTACCACCCTACTTCATCACTACCATCCTACTTCATCACCTTAAATCACCCTTCTTCCTCATCACTATGCATCACCATCCTACTTCATCACCTTAAATCACCCTCCTTCCTCAGCACTTTACATCACCATCCTACCTCACCACCTTAAATCCCCCTCCTTTCTCATCATCATACATCACCATCCTTCTTCATCACCTTAAATCACCCTCCTTCCTCAGCACTTTACATCACCATCCTACCTCACCACCTTAAATAACCCTCCTTCCTCATCACCATACATCACCTTCCTACTTCATCACCTTAAATCACCCTCCTTCCTCATCGCTATACATCACCATCCTACTTCATCACCTTAAATCCCCCTCCTTCCTCATCACTATACATCACCAGCATACTTCATCACTATATATCACCATCCTACTTCACCACTACACATCATCATCCTACTTCATCACTTCACATTACCATCCTACTTCATCACTACACATTATCATCTCACTTCATCAGTTTACATTACCATCCTTCTTCATCAGTTACTACACATTACCATCCTACTTCATCACTACATATTACCATCCTACTTCATCACTACACATTATCATCTTACTTCATCAGTTTACATTACCATCCTTCTTCATCAGTTTACATTACCATCCTACTTCCTCAATTACCATCCTACTTCACCACTATACATCACCCATCACCTTAAATCACCCTCCTTCCTCATCGCTATACATCACCATCCTACTTCAACAACTTAAATCACCCTCCTTCCTCATCACTATACACCACCATCCTACCTCACCACCTTAAATCACACTCCTTCCTCATCACTTTACATCACCATCCTTCTTCATCACCTTAAACCGCCCTTCTTCCTCATCACTATGCATCACCATCCTACTTCATCACCTTAAATAACCCTCCTTCCTCATCACCATACATCACCATCCTACCTCACCACCTTAAATCACCCTCCTTTCTCATCATCATACATCACCATCCTACTTCATCACCTTAAATCACCCTTCTTCCTCATCACTATGCATCACCATCCTACTTCATCACCTTAAATCACCCTCCTTCCTCTTCACTATACATCACCATCCTAATTAAACACTACACATCACTATACTACTTCATCACCTTAAATCACCCTCCTTCCTCATCACCATACATCACCATCCTAATTAAACACTACACATTACCATCCTACTTCATCACCTTAAATCACCCTCCTTCCTCATCACTATACATCACCATCCTACTTCATCACCTTAAATCACCCTCCTTCCTCATCACTTTACATCACCAGCATACTTCATCACTATATATCACCATCCTACTTCACCACTACACATCATCATCCTACTTCATCACTTCACATTACCATCCTATTTCATCACTACACATTACCATCCTACTTCATCAGTTTACATTACCATCCTTCTTCATCAGTTAACATCACCATCCTACTTCATCACTATACATTAGCATTCTACTTCATCACTACACATTACCACCCTACTTCATCACTATACATCACCATCATACTTCATTACTATAAATTACCATCCTACTTCACCACTATACATCACCATCCTACTTCACCACTACACATTACTATCCTACTTCATCACTATACATCGCCATCATACTTCATCACTTTATATCACCATAATACTTCATCACTACACATTACCATCCTTCTTCATCAGTTTACATTACCATCCTACTTCATCACTATACATTACCATCCACTTCATCACTACACATTACCATATTACCATCCTACTTTATCACTATACGTTACCATCCTACTTCACCACTACACATTACCATCCTACTTCATTACTACACATAACCATCTTACTTCATCACTACACATTACCATCCTATTTCATCACTACACATAATCATCCTACTTCATCAATACACATTACCATCCTACTTCATCACTACATCCACTTCATCACTACACATTACCATATTACCATCCTACTTTATCACTATAACATTACCATCCTCCTTCATCCCTATACATTACCATCCTACTTCATCACTATACATTACCATCCTACTTTATCACTTCACATCACCATTCTACTTCATCACTATACATTACCAACCTACTTCATCACTACACATTACCATCCTACTTCATCACCATACATTACCATCCTACTTCATCACTATACATTACCATCCTACTTTATCACTTCACATCACCATTCTACTTCATCACTATACATTACATCACTATACATTACCATCCTACTTCATCAGTTTACATTACCATCCTACTTCATCACTTTACATTACCATCCTACTTCACCACTTCATATCACCATCCTACTTCACCACTACATATTACCATTTTACTTCATCACTTTATATCACCATTCTATTTCATCACTATACATTACCATCCTACTTCATCAGTTTACATTACCATCCTATTTCATCACTATACATCACCATCCTACTTCATCAT